CAGCAACAATAAAAAGTCCTTTTCCAAAAGCCTGCCGGCTCCACCCCAGGAAGCAGTTCTTCCCCTCATGTCTAATTTTACTTTGACTAAACTCGATTTCTGGATGCTGGAGCCTTTTTTCTTTGTAAGGTACACTCAAGTCACCCAGAACAGGGCATGTAGTTTTCTTTGAATGGAATAAATAAGCTGTAGATACTCAGAAAAAATCCCAGCCCTTTACCCTTAACAATGATGCACTCATCCCACAAACGTTTGTTTTATGCTGACCACGTATAAGACATCTTGCTGAGGATTATTTGAAGGCTTAATTTTGTTAATTCCAAGACACAGATCTACTTCACATTTCAGCATGAAGTACGTTTTTTCCACATCAGGGGTGCAAAGCGAATGGGGTGTTTCACAAGTAGGAGGCACACCCCCCCACCCCCCCCCGTCAGGGACAACACGGCCTCAGACACAGACCCTGCTCTCAGACCGAGGGCTGATGTGATGACGGTGCTGGTGGCCAACTTTCTCCATCTTTGGGGGAAACCCATGGTTTAGTTTGGACTGGCTGAGCCTGTCCAGAGATGAAGCTGCCCCTCAGCGTGGAATTTTAGGCCTCCTAGCAGCAGCCCAGCCACCATACCTCAAAAGAAGCATGAGGCAGGGTGAGAACAAATTACTGGAGGTGCAGGAACCTCAGAAAATATTTCTTCTAGGAAACTCTCCCAAGTGCTGAGAGCTGATTTTCTTTTCTTTCTTTGACAAGCCTCGCTGTTGCACAACACAGTTTTTCTCTTTATAAGGAAATATCTAAACAGAGGGAAAAATTTCCAGAAGGCAAGGAAAATTTCTGAGGACAAAGAAATCTCGTTTCATAGGGAGAAAATACTGGGCTAAAGAGGTTTCCACCTAAAGCCTCCAACTCAAAAACCTGGAGAGGCCAGTATGAGAAGCAGCTCTGACTATCTTAGCAGAAGCAAACCGTCATACGCATTTCTGCCAGAAAAGCTTACGAGTGTTTACACACAGCGGAGAAGCCAGAGAAGGTGGCTGGAGGCGGGGATCTTAACCTCACTGCAATTATAAATCAGATCTTCACATCCCTGGGATAAACCGACCTGAAGGGAAGACGGCTGTGGTTGCTGAACTGTTAACAGCAAGATTACTAGTGTGGCAGCCGCAAATTCTATACCAGCCTGTTTGAGAGGCAAGAGCTGCAGGCCCCCTGTAGTCGTAGAGCAGGGGAAAAAAAAGAACAAAAACCCAAGAGGTGCGTCCTAACTGAACCCCGACAGGCAGCCGGCTCCCGCATTTTACGTGGAACCTTCGCACCATCTAACTCTGGGTTCTCACATCTGGAGATGCAGCTACATTCCTGAGTATCAGTGCACAGGCTGTTCTGCTGATGTTTTTTTCCCTGTTTGAGGGAAAAAAAGTGCCCTGAACCGATGAGATCCAGGGCAGGGGTGGTGAGATCCGTGGCCAGGCACACATGCCAGCCAGTGTGAGTGCACTGCCAGGAAGTCGGAAAGGCTGGGCCATGCCCAGACCCCATGGGGGCTGCAGGAGTCCACGAGGTGTTGGCGGCAGGGCAACCATGCATGCTGGCCCCAAGGAATGTGCCCCTTGTCCCTGGAGCTTCCAGCAACCTGATGTCTTCCCACCGGGGATGTCAGAGGCACTTAATGCAGAGTTTGATCCCTGGCAGAGGGAGTCAAGCTTTCTTTTTCTTCTCTGTTGTGTGTCAGCTCGCATTGTTGAATTTCTTTGTCTCCTAACTGAATCCCATCAGTGTGGCTGACTGCCTCACTTACTTGAAGTGAACTGAACTAGGAAACAAGTTTCTCAACAAGGCTGCATTCTCCAGGGTGCTAGGAAGGGCAGGGCTAAGCTCAGCCCCTGCAGAGAGTGAGAGGAGGAGAAAACCCTATTTATTGTTCTATAAGGTCTCCCTGTCTCCAGATCAAAGACGTCTGGCACAGGCTGTTCTTGCAGTGAGGAGGTCGGTGCCTCCATGGCAAAGCCTGGTGGCTGCTCATCAACACATAAGGGAGGAAGGCAGAGGGCAGAGAGCGAGAGGACTTTGCAGGGGAAAGTCAGACTCCCCCTTTATCAAAGACGACTCAATAAGATGCCCTGTGAGGTCCAGGGGGAAAGCAAAAGTTCTGTGAACCTAGGAAGAAAATAATTTCAGAGCTAAAGGAACACAAACCCGAACAGCTAATCGCTCAGATTCACACCTGTCGGCTGTGAACCTCAGACCCTCTGGAGATTGCAGCAGGCTGGGGGCACCAATGTGCAGCAGGCTGGGGGCACCTGCAGCAGTGGGCAGGGGAGAGACCCCTCCAGGTGAGTTACCTGAGCGCTCTCTCCAGGAGAGGATTTTTTTTTTTTTGAGTGCCCGCTAGACCTTGCACTGTACCACGAGGTCAACCTTGCCACATTCAAATTCTTTCCAAGCTTTGCCTCCTCAGCTTGTGTCTAGGCTACGTCTCTAGTTCAACGACTTACCCCCAAGCCCCCAGGTGCCAGAATTTGGGTGGGCAACTGTGAGAGAAGACAGGAGACTTAGTGACAATTTCAAGTTACTAAGTTCCAGACAAACATCTAAGTGTAAAGATGCAGACCCACTTCTCACTTCGGGATGCCAAGTGGCCCAGGAAATCACTGATCATTCGTGTTTGCTCAGAATTTTTTAATTTTGGTATCAAATTTTGGTTTATCGTAGGCAAGCGCTTGGGGAGTGCAGGTGTCCAGCATACTGCTTTGTGTGCTCCCGCCCAGTGAATGGATACGTGCTTCAGGGGTCCTCACCTGCTGGACACCTCTGCACACTGGCTCTGGGGCTTCCCATCCCTCTTCCCACAGGGTCAAGCCTGATAAAAGCCAACTGGACGGAAACCGCCGGATAACACGCTATCTTTCAGAGCTTAATAATGATTCCCTGGATTTGCTAAATGTCAGAGGGCCAGCTTCTCAAAGTGAGCTCTGTGACACCGGATGCCAGAATAGGATCGATGACCCAAAGAGCAGCCACCTGGCCGTCCGTCCCTCACCAAGGTCCTTTGGGATCTCTGCCACAGCTGGGCAGGTTCTTCCCACCCCCGCCATGTAGCAAGAGGCTCACTGTCAGCATTTTATGTCTGTCCCTGATTCTTCTAAATCCATAACGCACCTTTAGGAAGATCTGTGGTGGCAAAGCTTGTTGTGGAGGCCATGGGGGGCTGGGCACCCCCAGGCTTTCCAACAGGAGACCCAAAGGCTTAGCCCCTCAAGAAGCAAAGGGGGTAACATCAAGAAGCAAATGTCACTGCCACGAGATGGAAGGGTGAGCAGAGTCTGCAGACCTCGCTGTAAAAACCTGCTATGATTTTATTTGAGTTCATTCAAAACATCAACAAGAAAAAAGGGTGTGACTCAGCCACAAGTAGCAAAATGTCTAGTAGACTAAATTTTGCACAGAGGTGTCCTCTGAGAACACTGTCTTTCAGAACTTTCTCTAATGTGACTCCCCAGATTTGCTACCTGTCAGAGGGCCAGCTTCTCAAAGTTGGAGGAGGCGGGCAGGGATGCCTTCTAAAGCATGCAAAAAAACTCATCCTGTCTCAGGAAGCTTTCTGCAGCCAAGGGCCTGAATTTCCCAACTTCCACATCCCTCTCTCCCTCCCTCCCTCTCTCTCTCTCCACAATACACTTAAATTTATTAAATTTATTTGGGGAAAGAGATCTATCCTAAATCTGTATCTATAGGGCCCAGAAAACACTACGTATCGAGGCAATCGTCAGTGACAGACTTGAGTTGATCTTCCCCACACGTGAAAACGGTATCTACACACAGCTCTGCTGGCCATCTGCACCCAGCTTCCATCTCCTACCGCAATTACAAATACCCTGAGAACATACCTGCTTAATGTACAATTCCCTCCCTCCACGTGTGTGCTCCCACACATCTGCTCACTCACACACGCTCGGATGGCACATGACCCTTGCCTGCACTTTATCGTGTTTGCATCAGTGAGAACGTGGACTGGTGTGCCTCTGAATGGACTTGAAGAAACATGTTACCTACCTTGATGCCTTTCCTGGAAAGAATCCCATAAGAAATCCAGTCCCAGGGATGCAAAGAAGGGACTATGAGAAATACACTGTAGTTCGCTGAAAACTGGGCCTGGTCAAGCCTCTTCTCTGCGCCCAGGCAAGACAGAGGCCAGAGAGAGGGAGTGGTCAGCCCTCCAGGAGGGGAAGCTGGAGGTGACTGGGGCAGACCCCAGGGACCGTTCAGGAATGGTCCCTTATAATGTGACCCTCAGAAGACCTAAATTCTCAACACCCTGGGAGTCTCTCCTCTGGTAAAAGTAAATGTAAACTGCATCCTACAAGTGCCAATTTAGAATTCCCTTTTAACAGGGAGTGATTTGGGAAGAGAGAAAACCACACTCCCGTGGGGACGTCCATTTTCTTTGCTTAGAACAGCAGTTCTCAACCTGTGGGTTACAGTCCACAGGAACTATATTAAAGGGCTGCAACATTAGGAAGGTTGAGAACCCCTGGCTTAGAAGAACCTAACTGAGAACCCTCCTCTGAATCCCCTGAGCATTGAAATGCCCCCTCCCTGGAAACGCACCCTGCCATATACCATTTAAACCCCGGGCAGAGTCCCGCTGACACCCAGGGACGGAGATGAAAAAAGAAAGTCCAGAGAGAGCCCTGTGGGAGCAGGAGGGGGCTGTAAGCTGCCATCCCCCCAGCTCCTCTCCACCTATCCCTGTGTCAGCTGCCCCCCTCCCCTAGAGAGATCCCCAGTAACCTGTCCAGTGATCCCTCATGCAGAAGAGTGGGGGCACTTTGACTTTGCCAAAAACTGGTCTGTTCCCGACCCTGCCTGAAAAAGCACTTGGAGAGGACAGGGAAGGGGACGTGATGCTCAAACAGGACACAGCAGGGCTCTCTGCTCACTGGGGACACAGGCCAGGAGAGGACAGACCACCCCGGGGCCGCCAGGGACGCTCTCTTACCAAACTCGCTGGCACAGAGATGTTCAATTATGGCCTCAGATTTCAACTCGTTGTCACAGGGAGGGCAGACCGTTGTGCCTAGGAAGAAAGGGGGAGGAACAGAAGCTGTAAGTTACGGCGGTGGTGGGGGGCCAACCCCTGGGGAAGAGAAGGGAGATCTGAGGATAGAAAAGTCAGGCCGGAGCCCAGGATTTAAAGCCATAAATGGTTTCTTGAAGCATTTTGACCAGAGCTGTTGAATACAGCACATTTAGCCAACACAATCTGACACTGGGTGAAGGCAGTGGGGAGTCCTATGAAGTGTGACTCGTGGGGTGTTGTGGGCTCCTGGAAAATATTAGCTCATAAAACCAAAAACACATATTCTAGTTGTGTGTGCCCTGTCCTGTCTCCCTCTTCTGTCAATATACTCTCTGATTCCTGCCCCCTTTTACTTCCAAACTCCCAGGACAGCTGACCCATCCGACCAGTTCCCCAGGAACAAGAGAAGGAGGAACTCGGCCAGACCCCCAGCTCTAAGCCCAGGGCCCTGAATGCTCCTCTCAGAGGGCTGTTGCAGTGGTTGCTCCTGCCAGAGCAGGAGGCCAGAGCAGCCTGTGGGGGTAGGGCAGTGACCAGAGCTGCCAAATGGGAGGACAGGGCTGGACCTGGACGGGGAGGCCCTCAGAGGCCCTTTCATGGGTGGCTGTGAAGTGCTTTGAAGAGGAGGTGTGGGGGGCAGGCATGCTCACCCAGGAGGCATCTAACCCCAGGGGAGGAGACTTCCCAGGCCAAGCAGAGGGAGAGGGGCTGGACAGTGGGTCCTGCCCAGGCTAGAGTGGCCCATCATCATCATGGTCACCCTCCTCATCTACCACATAGCTGGGAGTTATCAACATTCAAGGAACGTAATCACACATTCAGGGAGCACCCAGCCCCGCACAGCTCAGGCTGCACCAGACGCAATCACAGTCAAGGGGCACCCAGCCCCACACAGCTCAGGCTGTGCCAGAGACAATCACAGTCAAGGGGCACCCAGCCCCACACAGCTCAGCTGCGCCAGTCTTAAGCAGAAGAGGACGAGAGAGTCACTGGAGACCGCGCTGAAAGGGATAGAAGGCCAGGTGGGTCTGGAGATGCAGCTGAAGGGGACACAGGCCAGGTGGGTCTGGAGATGCAGCTGAAGGGGACGCAGGCCAGGTGGGTCTGGTGTCCTCCCCCTCTCCACAGTGGCTTCTGCAGCAGCATCTCCCCAACCCTATGCCAGCCCCCAGTTCAAGGCTGCCCTCTGGACACAGCTGGCCCACAGACCTCTCCCCATTCCAAGCAGACAGACTCAGCTCCTGCCTCCACTCTGCACCCAGGATCTAACACTTTTCAGATTCTCAAGGTAGCAAGAACCACACTCCAAGCAGAAAGTGGCAAGACTATCCTTAGTCCAAATATTGGAAATCAGCTTTGCACAGAGAACTTGAGATTGGGTTCTGGAAAAAACTTACCCAGAATTTTACATTATGGTTTTTGCTTCCATGGGTAGAAGGGAAAAGAAGTCCCTTGATATGGAAAGAACTATGTCAACTATACCAGGAGACTGAATTGTGCTTTTGGATTTCCCTTGTTCCTTTATCAAAAAATAAAAACAGAAGTTATCACGTTGCAAACTTCTACCGATGTAATCTTCACCAAACAAGAAGCAAGGTCTGAGGCAGGGCAATCAGAATTAAAAGGCCACACCTCCAACCTGCCACACTGTGTCTCCTCCGGGCACTTAGAGCTCCCTGACCTGGTGGGTAGGAATGGCTCTGTACCCCACAGGGGGGTGTCCTTCTCCCTTCAATTACATTTGGACCTCAGTGTCTCTTAAGAGTGGGAAGAGCTCATTGGGGTGGGCTCTGGGTGTTTTCAGCATGGCTCTCTCCCATCTCGCCTTTTCTCCAGGCTGGGTCCAGAGCAGCTGATCCAGAGAAAGGAGGCAGAAAGTACAGCTCAGCCTTGACCTGGCCTGCAAGGTGAGTCCTGC